CAAGTCAATCATCAATCAAGAAAATGCCCCACAGACCTGCCCACAGGCCAGTCTAATGAAGGCATTTTCCCAATTGAGAGTCCTGTTTCCCAAGTGACTATGGCTTGTAGCAAGCTGACAAAAAACCAACCAGCATGGTAAACATACATTTAAAATATTGTTTTATTTTGATGTGTAGTATGTATATGCTTGAGTGTGTACGTGTGCATGTGGGTGCCTCCCGGAAGCCAGAAGAGGACATTGCATGCCCTGGAACTGAAGTCATGGGTTGTGAGACTGCACGTGGATACTGGGAACCAAACCCTGGTCCTTTACAAGAGCAGCAAGTGCTCTTAACTGTTGAGCCGTCTCTCAGTCCTGTAAAAATAACTTTTAAATGCATTGGGTAGAAATCATGTGATTGACTTTATTGTAAAGGCCCGCAGCCAAACTTGCCATGTCCCCAGGCAATGCCGGTGTAGTTGAGGAAACATTTGTCAATTAGTATCTCAGCCTCTGTCATTGCTGGTCGTCTGTTCACACACTGAGTTTGACATGTGAAAGGAGTGCTTTGCTCTCTTTGATAGTTTCTAGGACCAAAGCACCGAAAGTAAGGGGTCAGGGAGGTGCTGACCACCAAGCTCTGCCAGGTGGGCAATCGAGCATTCATCTACAATGCTGGGTTAGGAGACTCTGACCAGCTGACCTGCCTCTTGCATTTTGCCACCTAACTGATCAGCTGACGCACCATAGCTAAGCGGCTGCCAGGAAGCAGTCAGTGAAGGTACAAACCCCGAGTGTGGGAGGTGACGGCGCACAATACAACCTGCAGCAAGAACAGCACTGAAGCCCCAACTCGCCCGCCAAGCTGGCCCAGGCTTTCCAAGAGTGACGCTGTGGGCCCATAATGGAGCATGGATTCACAGCAACAGAGATGTATGAGGGAGGTTAGAGCTCTGTCTGTGAGGACATACCGTGTGGCACAAAGCGACAATTGCGGTCTTTTCTGCTTTGGAGTATAACGAGGAACTCAGTCCCTTTTGGTAGAGTATGGGCTCCCTCTGCTGCTGACAGGAGACAGCCAGGGCTTTGCTGTCGAGGATATTTAAGCCGAGAAGGTGGCCTGCCCAGGGAAAAGAAGGATGGGGGTAAGCATGGTAGAGGGACCAAAGGGTGCTGTAAGCATTGCCCCTGTGGGCTCGGGGATTGCTGTCCACCTGTGTTCATACCAAAGGTGTTTCCCATCTTTTCCTTCCTCCTCTCCCTCCCTTCCTCTCTCCTTCTTTCCTGTGTGTGTGTGTGCATGCGTACGCGCATCTGTGTGTGCTATATGTCAATACCCTCCGAATTCCTCTAGAGGAGAAGGCTCATGAGACTCTGGGGATGTATCAGTTACTCTTTGTCACCGTGATAAAACACCATGCCCCAAAGCAACTTGTAGAAGAAAGAGTTTATTGGGGCTGTGGTTCTAGGGGGAGAGTCAAAAATGGCATGGCTATCAGTGACTGGAGCAAGAAGTATAAGGATCCCATTTTCAACCAGGAACATGGAACAGAGAGACCAAACATGAAGGTGGTGAGGCTATAAATTAAAAAAAAGCCCACCCCCAGTGACATACTTCCTCTAGCAAGGCTCCACCTCCTAAAGGTTCCATAACCTTCCCAAACAGTGCCACCAACTGGGACCAAGTGTTCAAATGCACGAGTCGTTGGGGTACGTTTCTCATTCCAACCACCACAGAAGTAAACAAAATGTCACATGTCTGGGAAAATGAAAATTTGGAAGATTCTGGAAGACCCTTCCCCACTAAAACAGCTGATGGGAGAGGAGCCTCTCACTGGATGAGCTGATTCGGTTGGGAGAGGAGATTTCTGGGGCCTAGGCACTGTCTGCAAGTTGTGCAGAGAGCACCAGGGTTGCAGCTTTCATGAGCCCTTGTCACCCACGCTGGGGCGGCCATCTCGGTGACGGGTCTGCTTTGTGAGTCATCCCCACTCCTGGAAGCAACCCTCACACATACTCATGTGCATAACCCCAGGAAAAACGCGAAGGTTCACAAAGTTGGACTTTGGTGTAATCATGACTTTGGTCTCTTTATGGTTCCCTTTCTGGGCTGAATAGATATGTGTGTGCTGTATCTTCCTAGGGGAAATCTGTCACACAGGAGTGTACTTGTGTGTTCCTGTGCACACGTGTGGAAGCCAGAGGTTGACATCGGCTGTCTTCCTCTGTTATTCTTCACTTTATTTTTGAAGACAAGAGTCTTCTGCTGAACCTGGAGCGCTGCACTGTGGTCAAGATGGCTCTCCAGCAAGTCCCAGGGACCTGTGTCTGCCCCCCACAGCTGGGGTTCTAGGCTGAATTCAGTTTTGTATGTGGGTAGAGGGGATGTGAACTCAGGTCCTCACACTGTGTGCCAGGCTCTTGATAGACTAAGCCATTTCTCAGCTCCAGATGCCTGCATGCTGACCTAGTTAATAAGTGGTGGCATTTGCCGAGGTGACGAACAACGGAAGGGCTGGCTAGTGAGGAAGTCAAGGGTCAGTGTGGAGTATGCTGAGTTTCTGTAACTATGACACAACAGAGAGCGCCGGGCGGTGGTGGCGCACGCCTTCAATCCCAGCACTCAGGAGGCAGAGGCAGGTGGAGCTCTGAGTTCGAGTTCAGCCTGGTCTACAGAGCAAGTTCCAGGACAACCAAGGCTACACTACAAAGAGGTTGAGAGGGGATATGTTTGAGAAGGATTAGGAGGTGTGTCTTGTTGGAGGAGGTGTGTTACTACACTTGATTTTAGCCAAAAGGCCGAGAAGCGATGGAGGTGTGTTACTGAGAGCTCAGCTTTGAAGTTTCAAAACCCCAAGTCAATCCAAGTTAGCTCTTCTGCCTCATGATTATTGTCGAAAGGTGTGAGAGCTCAGCTACTGTTCCAGAGCCAAGCCTGCCTGCCTGCTTATTGTCATGGGATGGTCATAGACTCTAACCCCCTAGAATGGTGAGCTCCAAATGAAAAGCTTTCTTTTATAAATTGCCTTGGTCCAAGTATTTTGTCATAGCAGTAGAAAACTAACTGTCTTGGTTAGGGTTTCTACTGTTGTGAAGAGACACCATGACAACAGCAACTCTTACCATGGAAGGCATTTAACTGGGGCTGGCTGACAGTTTCAGAGATTTAGTCCATTATCGCCATGGCAGGAAGTATGGCGTAGCACAGACAAGACACGGAGGTGGAGAGGTAGCTGAGAGTTCTGCATCTGGATCAGCAGGCAGCAGGAAGAGAGAGTGACACTGGGCCTGGCTTGAGCACTTGAAACCTCAAAGCCCTGGTGACAGGCTTCCTCCAAGAAGGCCACGCCTACTCCAACAAGGCACGCCTACTCCAACAAGGCCACACCTCCTAACTGTGCCACTCCCTATGAGCCTAGGGGGGGCCGTTTTCATTCAAACCACCACAGTGACTCAGACAGCCCAGGATCAGCAATTCCACCACCTGTGGGTATAGATTTAAAATAACTCAACGCAGGAGTGCAGGCAGGCACTTATACACCAATATAGATAAGGGCTTTACCTACAACAGACAAAAAGTGAAAACAAGGCAAAACTGATGGATCCATCTAACGTGCTTTATGCGGTAAGTGTGTGCAGCAATTAAAGCAATGGAATGGAGGAGGGAGAACTGGTTTGCTTGAGGACAAGGTCTCACTCTGTAATGGCAAGCTGGTCTCCAATTCTAGATCCTTCTGCCTCAGACACCCCTGGGTTGGCAGAGTTTATAGGCATACACCACCAAGTCCAACCAGGAATGAAGTTCTGTCACATGGTACATCATGGATTAAAAACTTGAAGGTTATATGATTAACCAAATATGCCAGTCACAAATCGATAAACATTGTATGAGTAGGCAAATTTATAGAGACAGGAGTGTTGTTTGTTTTGTGATGGGAATAGGGGGAAGTAATTACTACTTAGGGAATGGAGTGCCAGTCCAAGACGATGAAAAAGTTATACATAGAGTGATCTTTGCTCAACAGCGTGGATGTAGGTATTCAGTGGGTTGGAGAGGTGGTTCAGAGGTTAAAAGTGTGTATTACTCTTCCAGAGGCCCACAGTTTGATTCCCAGGAGGCTCACAATTGCCTGGAACTCCAACTCCAGGGATCCCACACTAGGTCCTCCATCACACACACACACACACACACACACACACACACACACACACACACACACACACACAGACACGCGCACGCATGCGCGCACGATTTTTAAAAATTATGAAAATGGTTAGGTATATTTTGGCATAATTAAAATACGTACACCTCAAGCAAGTCACAAGATTGGAGAATTGGGCGTGTTTTTTTTTCAGCCACTCCACCCCATACGGAGACCTCCACTTCAAAATCAGGGTGTGTGTGTGTGTGTGTGTGTGTGTGTGTGTGTATTGCCAGAGTTCACACACTCACAGCGTCTTCTCAGCGTGGGGCTAAGGCAGACAGGGTGTCGATTAAGGAGCTTACACTTTGCTGCAGTGCCCCATCGCCGATCACTAGGGATCACTTGCACCCCCATCCCAGCATCAACTAAACTTAGCCTAAACTTTGCTTTCGCTAGGCTTGTTCATGGCCAGATAGTCTCTTCCACTTTCTCCTCACAGTTAGGCATCTCAATCCACTACAATCAAATGGTTTTTTTTTAGTGTATGTAAAAAATGTGCAACCATCGCCACGACGCAGTTGTAGAACATTTCCAACCCCCACTTCGCCTTTCCAAGCCCCCGCGTCTCACCACGGAAGCTACCAGTAAATTGCACTGATTATCCTTGCTAGTCGATGTCTTATAACTAGACGAGGTTTTTTTTTTTTTTTTTTTTTTTTTTTGGTAAGAAGCGCCCCTTAGAGCGGCTCTGCGCCTTTTATCATCGAAGGATCGGTCCTCTGCGAGGCGCCCTGGCAGGGGCGGGGCAGCCGTGGCTCAGGACTCGACTGTTGATGCCTGAGTGCCCCACGCGCCTGCGCAGTAGCGGGAGTCGTGCTCTTGTCTTGGGCTGAGGAGGTTCCTTCCGAGTTTACCGGAGTGTAGGTGCGGCTGCGCGACCCCCGACGGCGGCTGCGCGACCCCCGACGGCGGCTGCGGCTGCGGCTGCGCGACGTGGGACGGCCGCGCCATGGCGGACGAAGAGCTCGAGGCGCTGAGGAAGCAGAGGCTAGCGGAGCTGCAGGCCAAGCATGGGGTGAGCGAGCGGGCGGGGCGCCGCCGCCGTCGTCCCGGGAAAGGTCTGCCGGCGTTTGTCCGTGGACCACGGCCTCCCGCGCCCCTGTAGCCCCTTGTGTGTGCGGGGACACGGGTGTCCCGGAGGCCGCCTCAGCCCTTTCGGGTCGCGCGGGTTCCCACGTGGGCCTTGTGCGGGTCGGGGTGTGCGCGCCCTCGGGTCGCTCCCAAATCTCGGCCTTCGCCGCCGTCGAGCTTGGTGCCAACCCCGCCGAATTCTGGTCGTCAGGGATTCGGTCTTGCTGACCGGAAGTCAGCGCTGTGTAGAGAGGGTCCTTTGAGTGCGGAGGACACCGTCCCGACGGCGTGTCCCCGGCGGGACTCCTGGGCTCGAGACAGTGCTCAGCCCCTGCGGTGCCGTCTGGGGAGTGGCGGGCTGCACACGAGTCTCGGGGCAAACGCTAGTGATGGTGGGTGGCCTCGGTGGCAGCACCCCTTGACGCAGCATCCCTTGTGCCAAGCCAGGGGTCTCTTCAGACAGTCGTCTTACTGGGAAAAATAGGGCTCCATGATCCAGGGCCCCCCCAGGGAATGCGTGTGGTCCCCAAAATTCTATTAGATTGTGACTTTGGAAGCTCGTCCTCACTTTGTAAATGTGGGGCTGGGGGTGGGAGTTAGCCTGAGCCGCGGTGCTTACCTAGTATGCTCAACATCCTCCCTGTCTTCCCCAGGTACCACCCTCAGCCCTTCCATATTTAATAAAACAAAGCATTGCAAATGGAAACCGACTCATTGATTTTTGTGAGGCCTAGTTTCCATCTCAGGAGCCTATTAGAGCAGAAAGAAAATCGAATAAGCCCTTTATTTTTGTTTTCATTTGTTTGCTTTATTTTGAAATAGGGCTCTGTCTGTAGCCCAGGCTGGCCTGCCTGTAACTTGAGGTCCTCCTGCCTCGAGTGCTAACTAGAGTTACAGATGTGTGTCACCTCACCCTTTCCCCCACCCCTGCAGTGTACCTTCTATTTTTCTCTCCTCTTTTGAAGTTCCACTTGATTAAAAGGTAAAATTACCTTTTCCCCCCCAGGATCCTGGTGATGCAGCCCAACAGGAAGCAAAGCAAAGGTATGAGCTAGAATTCTAACTTTCTGGAAGGGTGGTTTCACAGATTGAATTTGTCTCTTATTTAGTAGTTGTAATTGGTATGTGACTCTTAACAAATTTCCTAACATAGTGATTTTCTAATAAGTCTGAGTCAGGGTAATTCCTTTTTTAGGTTGACTCACTATATACTCATGGAGTTCCTTTAGTGCCTTGTTTTGAAGTTCTACCTGATTACTCTCTACTAAGCTTAACAGAATTACTTCGTAGGGATTTCTAGACCCAGGACCACACAGTAAACGTTCAGTAAATATTACTTTACACTGCTGTTTTGTTGTAGAATATTATTTTAAGGTGTGTTACTTTTGTTTATGTTACATTTGTTTAACTCTGTGAAGCTGTATTACTGTCCCTGCCTAAAACAACTGATGGTTTAATAAAGAGCTGAATGGCCAATAGTGAGGCAGGAGAAAGGATAGGTGGGGCTGACAGGCAGAGGATAAATAGAAGGAGAAATCTCAGAGAGAAAAATGAAGGAGGAGGACCCAGGGGCCAGCCACCCAACTACACAGCAAGCCACAGAGTAAGAGTAAGATTTACAGAAGTAAGAGAACGGGAAAAGCCTAGGGGCAAAAGGTAGATGGGATAATTTAAGATAAGGAAAGCTTGTAAGAAACAAGCCAAGCTAAGGCCGGGCATTTATAATTAAGAATAAACTTCTGTGTGTTATTTATTTGGGAGCTGGGTAGTGGGCCCCCCAAAAGAGTAAAACCAAACAACAACACCGTCTTACCCCTGCACATGGCAGAGCAGTTTCACAGAAGCACAGACGTACATTTGATGTGTGAATACACCCTGCTTTTGCCTTGGCCATTTCTTAGGTATATGTAAATCCAGATAGCAACCTGCAAGGTTAAACCTCTAAGTCCACATTCTTCGAGGAGCTTGTTTCATTTTCCTTCTCTACTCAGGATCCCTCATCTAGGGTCTCTTTTTCATTCTTTGAGTACATAAAGCACATGCGTCTAGTCTCAACTGCTTGAGAGGTTGAGACAGGATCTCATGTTCAAGGCCTGCTTAGGCAACTTAGCAAGATGCTGTCTCAAACTGAAAAAGATTAAAGAAGAGAGGCTGGGGATGCAACGCAGTGGTAGAGTGTTTTCTAGCATCTGCAGAGCCCTAGGTTCAAGTACTAGTATGGTAAAAACAGACTGGCACATCTTATAACCCATAGTATCTGAGTTAGATTCAGGAACTCTGAGAAAATGGCCTAATAAACTTTAAGCCATGTTCCCAAGGCCCTTGATAGTGGGCACACCTAGCCCCAGCTGTCCCTTTAATTCTGCTAGTCCATGTCTGCTTTGTGTAATCGTTTCCTTGGATGGTTGCCTTAGAGGAATATTTTAAGTCTTCTACTTAAAAGTCTGAAAGCAGCATGAGGTGGCACAGTCCTGTGATCCTAGCACTTGGGAGGCTGAGGAAGGACGGTGAAGAGATCGAGACCAGCTTTGGCTCCATAGTGAATTCTGGGCCAGCCTGAGCTCTGTAGCTAAACCCTGTCTCCAAAAAGTTTGAAAGCATTGTCCATGGTTGCTACTTGAGTATTCAGGAAGAAGCAAGAATAATTGCAGAGTTAGAATTTCCATGGGCTCTGGTTCTACCTGGGCCACGGTTTTCTCTTTCAGAGTCTCCATAGGTTTCTGTATCCTTCCTAAAGAAAGTACACTTGGTCTCTCTTTTTTTTTTTTTTTTTGTTTTTTGTTTTTTGTTTTTGTTTTTTTTTGTTTGTTTGTTTTTTCGAGACAGGGTTTCTCTGTGTAGCTTTGCGCCTTTCCTGGAACTCACTTGGTAGCCCAGGCTGGCCTCGAACTCACAGAGATCCGCCTGGCTCTGCCTCCCGAGTGCTGGGATTAAAGGCGTGCGCCACCACCGCCAGGCCACTTGGTCTTTCTTAATTGCTGAGACTTTACTACAGGTTTGTAGCATGTGTCCCACTCGGTACTTAATGTTGGTAATGGTTGTTGAACTGAAATACTGCTTCATGAAATAGTGTTCTGCCGTTCTGGTAGGTTTACACCCACAGAGCTAGCTGAAGGCCAAAGCACCTAGCATCGTCCAGTCTGTGAACCGCAGGTGTCTTATAGTGGCCTGCTGGATGGCTGAACAGATAGGGGCACTTGCCACCACGCCTGATGATCTGAGTTCAGTTCTCAGGACCCACATGGGGAGAGGCGAGAACTGACTCCAGAATTGTTCTCCAGCCTCCACATGTGCGCCGTGGCGTGTGCTCCCCTCAAATAAATACATAAATAAATGTAAATATTCTTTTAAAGGGACATTGAATAAATGACTTGGTACTCAGCCTGCTGACAGCTCAGTTCTAATCTTGTATGACCTATGTTTTGTTGTAGGGAAGCAGAGATGAGAAACAGTATCTTAGCCCAAGTCCTGGATCAGTCAGCCCGGGCCAGATGTAAGCTTCTTCAATTTCCTTTATTCTCGTAAAATTGGCTTGAGGTAATTGGATGGTCAGAAACATGTATGCAGTTATTGTTCTCATCAGAGCAAATGTTTAAAGGACTTGAAAGACATTGTAAGAAGTATGAAGTTTATAAAGTTAGAGAGAGATTGTTATTACTGTTGAAGCACATTTTTTTAGGAATGCCCCTTGAGGACATTTTTAGTAGAGTTTGTAAGGATTGACTCTTGAACAGTCACAGAGTTGTGGTGGGAAGGGGTGGCTAGGGGTTGATTATATTCTGGCTTTTAGTGCTCTGTCTGGAATCTTCAAAGTAAATCTAGAAAACCATGAGGAAAGGAAAGAATGAGCCAGTCAGAGCAAACTGTCATCTTTTCTGTTGGAAACTTGAGTCCAGCCTCCACTTTGAGAGGCCACTGTAGATGGATCGTGCCATCATTTCATAGGCCACTGTATATTATCAGAAGCAGGAAAGCATGGAGTTTAGAACCTGAGAACTCAAGTTTAATCTTGGCTCTCCCACCACAGAGTGACTGACTTGAGATTGAGAGGCCTAACCACACTGTCTGCCCTAACTACCTTTTGCCTGTTGACAGACCAAAGCTTGTGAGATACTTTGGAAGTGTCAGTGGATAGTTCTAAGTGTAAGCAGTGCATTTAGTCTTCATGCTTTCTTGTCTGTTTTTTTTTTCTTTTTAGTAAGTAACTTAGCACTTGTGAAGCCTGAGAAAACTAAAGCAGTAGAGAACTACCTTATACAGATGGCACGATATGGACAGCTGAGCGGGAAGGTAAGCCCAGACGGCCTGAAGGAGCGCGGTGGTACCTGCAGGCGGAACCCTGGCTTGGGGGCCGCCAGGTGGCTCCCCAGTTTCAGTGCTTGCTCTCTTGCAGAAGACTGGAGCTTGGTTCTCAGCACCCACGTCAGGAGGCTCACTAGTGCCTTTAACTCCAGCTCTAGCAGATCCAGGGCTGTCTGACTTCCACACATGCGCTGCATAGACACATTGAAGCAAAATACTCATGCACATGAATTTTTAAAACTTAAAAAATCGGCTGCACCAAGTAATTTCCATATTTGAATATAGAATTCTTATTGACTCAAAATTTTAAAAGAGAGAATAATCACCCCCACTGTAAATCTTGAGTGATGATTGCCTGTCCTAAAATGCTCAACTTTCTCCTTTGCTGGCACTGTGTCAAGTGTGACCCAGTGATTATTAGAGTCACCTGGCTTGAATTGTCCCTGCACTAGAAATGGGGTTTGTCAATATCATTAACATACCACCAGTGTTTGCAGAAGTTAGGCTTGTTTTGCACTTGTGAGGGGAGGTTGAAGTCTTTGGTTCATGTCTGTGTGTCTGTGTCTGGCTGTATCGCCATAAGGATTCTTTAGCGGCACACAAGCCCTGCCTGCACTGAACCTGGAAAGAGCCAGTTGGTCTTTTCTGAGGGTGTTGTCTCTGGGGTGGTGTCGGCAGAGGCGGCATATCTATGCCTGTGACCTTTCACACAGTGGTGGTCATCGCCTTGCTAGCAGTGACAAAGATGGCCTTAAACCCGCTTGCTTTCCTCAGGAGCTGTCCCTCTACTTCCCCCCTGGGCTATTCCTGCACCTCAGAGAGACTTCACTGTGACTGGTCTGCTTAGAGGTGATGTTTGCTTTGAAACACTTCTCTCTTGTTTATAGGTATCAGAACAAGGTTTAATAGAAATACTTGAGAAAGTCAGCCAACAGACAGAAAAGAAAACAACAGTTAAAGTAAGTGCCCCGTGTGCATGCGCCTGAGCAGTCGAGTGCCTTTGAGAGCTTCCAGACACTGGTCCTGTTATGTGGTTGGCTAAGACTGGCTTTGTGGACAGTGTCAATCTTAGAGGATTCTTACCTCTCAAATTACCCCTCTTCGCTCACTAAGTTGGTTCAAAGACACACACACACACACACACACAAAGCCTCACTTGAGTAATTAAAAATGTTTTTCTCAGAAAATCTGAGGCTTTACAAAGTGTGACATTCCTTTAATTTTCCTCTAGTTCAACAGAAGAAAAGTAATGGAGTCCGATGAAGATGACGATTACTAAGAGGAAATGCTTAAACTTACGGAGCAGTGTCTAGGGCAGTTACAACCTTTAAATGTTTACTTTGTTTATTGTCTATATATGCATTTTGAAAAAATAAACTTGTTACTCAAACTAAAGCAGTTTGGGTGTTTCAGAATCACAGGCAACTCTTAAGAAGATCTGCATTTTGAATAATTTTCCCTTCCTTCCAAAAGCTTTTAAATGGTGGTAGTGCAAGTTTCTCCTTTGCAGCGGGGACATTAACGTGAGGTGGAGATAGAAGCTGTGCCAGCACGCTTCGGCAGCCAGAGACATCAAGGGAATGAAACCCCTGGGCAACCCAATCAGCTGAGCATATCCGGCATTCTTTTTTTTTTTTATTATTATTATTATTATTATTATTATTATTATTTTTGGTTTTTCGAGACAGGGTTTCTCTGTGTAGCTTTGCGCCTTTCCTGGAAATCACTTGGTAGTCCAGGCTGGCCTCGAACTCACAGAGATCCGCCTGGCTCTGCCTCCCGAGTGCTGGGATTAAAGGCGTGCGCCACCACCGCCCGGCATATCCGGCATTCTTAAGGCAGAACTTGTCAAAGCAGGGACATTGCCTTTTCCTGCAGGTAGCATTGCAAATTCACAGCTTTTGATTTAATTTACGTTTCAGAGGCACTGAGTTTACATTCTCCAACAGGTACCACTCTGATCCAGAACAACTAGAGTAATACTTTTGCAGATAACTAGGACATCCCGTGGTCACTGTTGAATAGTGACATGTTTACAAGAAGAGTAGGCTAGAGATGGCTGAGTGCCGATGAACACCGGGCACAAGTTCTTTTCCCAGCACCCATGTTGGGCAGATCATAACAGCCTGTACCTCCAGCTCCAGGGGATCAGACACACCCTGGCCTCAGAAACCTACTCAGGATCCCCCTTATAAGCGCGCGCGCGTGCGCGCGCGCACACACACTAAAAATAAATCCTAAAAAAAAAATGCAAATGGGGGCTGGAGAGATGGCTCTGAGGTTAAGAGCACTCGCTGCTCTTCCAGAGGTCCTGAGTTCAATTCCCAGCAACCACATGGTGGCTCACAACCATCTGTAATGAGACCTGGAACCCTCTCTGGCCTGCAGGCATACATGCTGTATACATAATAAATAAATAAATCTTAAAAAAATTATTTTAAAAAATGCAAATGAATTTGTCAATTTGTGTTCAGGATTGCACTGTCATAGTTGAAATCTGCTGAAGGGCTTTGTGGGTGGTTTTGGTTCAGAGGGTTTTGCTGAATATATTTTGGGTTTGTTGTTACTGTTATGTCTAAAACTGGTCTCAACTCTCCATTTAGCTGAGGATGACCTCAGACTCATGATCTTCCTGCTTCCACATCTCTAGTACTGAGATTACATATGTGTACCCCACACCTGGTCTCTGTGGTGCTAGGAATTGAACACCACTTCATGAATGCTAAGTAAACAATGCTAACTGAAGCACATCCTTAAATTACCAGTTATACTTAAAATTTGCTTTATGGCTCACTTATATGAAATGCTAGAAAGATACCTGACATGTCTCTTCGAGTTTTGTTACAGTCACCAGTTGTGATGCCTAATGGCTGAGGTGTGTTGAAGGACACTTGGAAACGTGAAGGAAAGTTGGCTGTTTACACAAGGATGGGGTCCTGAAGACAGCTAACGTGCTACATGTGGTTAGCCTGCAGGCATGGAGCTGGCTGTACTGGGACCTGCAAACAAACGGATTTGAGCATTGCCAATTTTTTTTTTTTTGGTTTTTCGAGACAGGGTTTCTCTGTGTAGCTTTGCGCCTTTCCTGGAACTCACTTGGTAGCCCAGGCTGGCCTCGAACTCACAGAGATCCGCCTGGCTCTGCCTCCCGAGTGCTGGGATTAAAGGCGTGCGCCACCACCGCCCGGCACATTGCCAATTTTTAATGGCCATGTAAAGTTTTCCTTTTAAGTGGGGAAAGCAAATGCAAAAACATGTGGAAGAATAATTAGAATACACTGCTCTACTCCTTACTGCAGTGGTTGGCAAGAGGTGAGCCTGTGCCTTGAGGAGCCTGCACTAGCAAGCTGAATACTCCACTCAAATGCCTCTGTCTGCCTCTTTAGAACTGCCCTGATAAACCATGAGGTCACAGAGCCAGAGCAGCACATATTAATAAAGTGGTTTTGTTGTTAAAAATGACAATGGACAGGCTGGAGAGATGGCTCAGCTGTTAGGAGCACTGGCCATTCTTCAGAGGATCTAGATGGGATTCCCAGCACCCACAGGGTGCCTCACAACCACCTATTACTCCAGTTGCAGGGGATCTGATGCCCTCTTTCCTATGCAGGCATGAGGCGCACAGACAGAAAAGCAGGTCAGTACTCTTTCTCATTAAGTGGGAAAGAGAAGAGTCAACAAACCGACAGCATCCATGATCTTCGTCAGCGCAGGAGGCTGTGTTTGTTTAACTGTTGAGTGTGCTGGGGCAGGCCTGTAATCCCAGCTCCTTGGGAAACCGAGGCAGTAGGACTGGGCAACTTAAGTACCACCAGAAGTGTCTTTGTGGGCACTCAGAATTGTGTATGCTACTGACCCATCTTCATCGCATCAACCCTGAGCAGGTAGATGGGTGATGGTCTGCTCTAAACGATCTGGGGGTGTGTCCTAATCACCCTTAAGTACAGAAAACACTGCATCCAAGCCGGGCGGTGGTGGCACACGCCTTTAACCCCAGCACTCGGGAGGCAGAGGCAGGCGGATCTCTGTGAGTTCAAGGCCAGCCTGGGAACAGGAAAGGCGCAAAGCTACACAGAGAAACCCTGTCTTGAAAAACAAACACTGCATCCATCCCATGAGGATGCTTTCCACGCAGCACAGTGTTGTACAGGACTGTCTCAGAGCCAGACAGACTACCACCATCTTCATTGAATCAGCTGGCCCGCTTACAAAAGATCGTTGCAGCTGGGTGTGTTGAAGGTTACTGTTCCTTTATGGGAAGGGTGGGGGGACAGTCATAGGACCCTGAGCTGTATGTACACCTCCAGCCTGTGATTACACATGGACTCAGGGAGGGGCTAGCGTGTATATATAGAGAGGCAGGGAAGAGGGCTGTCTACACAGGCAAGAGTCCTCATCCATGCTGGACACCAACCTTCCTGTGTGACGACTATTAACGTTTACCACCCATTGCTCTGTAAGGAAGCCCAGTGAACTCAGTGGTTCCCCAATGTGAACACCAGTGTTTGTCATTGGGATCTCAGGAAGAAGGAATAGGCAAATTTCATTTCCCCCAGGGAGCTATTTTCACAACAGGTTTACAGAAGAGTGGCTGAGAAACTGCACAGCAAAGTAAAACTTGCGTGACATGCTCAAGAGTCATAAAGTTTACTGTTTTCTTTCCCATCATTTGGCACATATCCAAGGCACATTAGAAAATTAGAAATCATAAATTACTTTGTAGAAAAATAATCAGCCCCTCCCTTCTATACATCCGCAAGTATCTCCCAGAATGTGCACAAAATCATGTCCTCTTTACAAAGTCCTTTGAAAATGGACTCAGGATGAACCCATGTTTGCAACTTTAGGATCAGGAACATAAAAAAATAATAGAATCTATAGAAAGTTATAAAAAGGAACCAATGGCAACGGATTCTAACTTAAACTCTGACCTGGCTTAGAGTGTTGTAAGTTGTGAATTTGAATCAAAAGACTTCAGATGTGCCAAAGCTGCTGCTCTCCAGTAGCCATCGTAGAAACAGCTACACGTGCACATGTGCAGTGACCAAATGTCTGTTGTTGGGAAAGTGACAGCCAACCTTTCCCATAGGTGTGGTGTAGAACAAGGCAGAGTGGTAGATCCTTTTCACTGGGATGGACATCAAAATGGCATTCAGGCACTTTCCAGTTCAAGTGTTTCCAGGTTCCATTTCTTCATCCTAACAGGATGCTTCTCTGCCTGGCATCCAGTTCCACAGGACTGACATTGCTTCTCTGACTTCTGGACGTGGGGATCCTTCTAGCATAGGGTTTGCCCGCTTATCCACACCACAGACACCCAGCACCTTCCAGCCAAAGGAGGTCAGAATCTGATGGTGAAGCCTCTGCCCATCACCAGGAAATCCAAACACTGAGATGAAGGGGCTCATTCATTCCCTCCTATTCCTTTTCAAGTATATTAGTTAGCTTTGAAGAGGAGAGAGGGTGGTCAATCTGAGGGACAGTCTCTCAAGCTGCTTATTTGAAAGTATACTTAGTTCTAAGCTATACTCATGCTCACCATCTTACTGCAAACTCGTGTCTCGATAGCACATTTACCAATCCCTTACTGCTAAGATTGAGAAACACTAGCCTCTTGGGTGGTCAGGTGGCCAGTCACCTCTGGAACCTGGGGTACGGCTGTGTCATTGACTGTATGCCTGCGGACCATCCGCCTGTGTCCAGGAGCAGCCTTCGTCGGCACGGGCCTCTCTGGGGGCCCCTTGTTTCCTTCCTCAGAAGCCTGACATCTGCTCTGGTCTGATGGGTCCTTCTGAATTCCCGAGACACTCTGCTTCTCCGGCTGGAGAGAAGATAAAACAGGTTGTGGCTGTACTGTTTTAAACCACCACTAAATAGCACCAGCTCTGCCTGAGGGTGTCAGACAACGCACTGAGAACCCCACAGGCACAGTGACAATTTGATGTTCCTGTGGTGACGGTGTCTGTCATGCTCCATGTGACACACAGAAAGTGCTTTGTGTATTTCTAATCTCTGATCAGTATGTGCTGTTGCTGCTCCTGCTTTTCCAGCAAGGAGACCGCACAGTAAGGGCATCTCACTGTCACGCAGCAAGACACACCCAGGAGCAGACGTATAAGCAAAGCTATGGAAAATTAAATAGGAAATCAAATTTTGTCATGCAAGCCGGGCATGGCAGTTCACACCAGTAACCCTAGCCCTTGGGGAACTGAGGCCAGGAGGTTACCATGAGTTTGAGGACAGTCTACATTACAGTATGAAACTGTCTCAGTGGGGGGTGAGGGGGGTGCTAAATTTGTCACACTAATTATCACATAAAGTCTCTAAAATGATCATTTGTGTATTTGTCCCAGCAAACCTGTGGTGTGCATGCCGTTCTTTCTCTTCAGCAGTTT